CGACCTACGTCATGATTGCATTGGATGTCACGTGGTCTCCGCTGGGCCTTCTCCGAGCGCTTGCCAGAGTGGGCCGTTTATAACGAAAAATACAGCCACCAGGCTCAAAATACAAACGTGCGATTGTCATTTACGGATATTGTGGATTATATTCAACCTATTTTTGAACACGACGGGAATATTTCAAATTTCGTTGAAGTATCCCTTTAACACTGTTCAAGGTGTCATCTCTGAGGATGACCTCCTTGATACGCCGGAGAAGGAAGTCGTTGAGGGGCTGGCCACGCAGGGAGTGACGGCTGCGCGGCGGATCACCCTGCGTCGGGCGGCGTAGAATTGAAAACAAAACATATTGTTTTAACTTTCGAATCAACCTCTCTTCCCGAAGTTGTTAGAGCCGGCTACCTACAGTGCCGCGTCCGCCCATATTTGCCAAATCCGCCGCGCTGCTTTAAGTGCCAGCGGTTCGGGCATGGGTCGCGGAGCTGCCGGGGGACCAACAAGTGTGCCAAGTGCTCTAGTAAAGAACAGGTTGCTGAAGCATGTGAGAGCAAACCTCTGTGTTCAAACTGTAAAGGCCACCACCCTGCCTATTCCAGATCCTGCCCTGTCTGGAAACAAGAAAAAGAAATTCTTGCACTAAAAATTAAAGAAAATATAAGCTACATTGATGCAAAGAAGCGCTTTGCATTTGTTTCTAAAGGGTCTTATGCCCAGGCCGTGCACAGGGGTCCGGCACGGTCAATAGAGTCGACGGGAACGCAGACGTGTTCGGACGACCCGCGTCTCCTGTTTGGTCCCCCTTCCTCGGGAGCAGTGCCAGTTGCACTGCCTCCAAACCGCAAGGTGGATGCTCCCTCATCAGCGTCCACCTCGGGAGCGGTGCCCATGGCACCGCCTCCATACCGCAAGGTGGATGCTGCTGCGTCAGCATCCACCTCAGGGCAGGGTATGACCTCCCTTGTCCCACCTGTTGCTTCGGTCCCTCGGGGCGGTGGCCTCCAATCCCGGACCTCTGCTCTTCAGAGGAAGCCTGGGGAGCCCCCCAAGCAGTCCACCTCTGCAGGTCAACCTGAGACCATTGCCTCCCCAACAGAGGAGCCAATAGATGAGAGCGGACCCAGATCTGACGAGGACTCCCTCCTGTCGGGATCTGAGCCTTCCTCTTGCGCTCCCAGTGGTCCCACTGGGAAACAGAAGGAAGCTACGAAAAAGAAAAATGCCCCGCGTATTAAGATAGATTTTAAGAACTGAAGATCCTTTTTGATCAGTATGTTCTCGTTTTTTTTTTCTCTTTCGCATTTTTCAACTTTTTAATATTTGCTCTACTGTTTTTTAAATAATGAGTTTGATGCAGTGGAACTGCAGAGGTCTTTTTAGTAATTTGGACGATGTGAGGTTCTTGTTACACAAACATGAACCTTCCGCATTCTGTCTGCAGGAAACATATCTGAAGCCATCTAATATAAATTTTCTTAAATCGTATCAGATATAGAGGAGGGATCGCGCGACGACCTCTGGCGCTTCTGGGGGAGTTGCAATTATTGTAGACAGTAGTTTACCTGCCTGCGAAGTCTCCCTTAACACTTCTCTGGAGGCCGTCGCAGTAAGGTTGCTACGAGATCGCCTCATTACCATCTGCTCCATTTACATCCCTCCTTCATCATCCTTGGAACTTTCCCAGGTTGAAGCCTTAGCTGACCAACTGCCTGAACCTTTTATTTTAATGGGCGATTTTAATGCACATAACCCACTCTAGGGTAGTGATCGGACTGACACCCGGGGTTCTGTTGTGGCACGATTTTTGTCTCTTAGAGAAGTGTGTGTTTTAAATACTGGGACACCAACATATTTCAGTTCTCATAACTGCTCTTTCTCTTGTCTTGACCTCACTATTTGTTCATCTGCGATTTTTACCGACTTTACTTGGAACGTATTAGATAACCCTTATGGGAGCGACCACTTCCCAGTGTACCTTACTCCGCTAGAAGTTCTACCTAGGCTTCCTTGTTGTCCTCCTTGTTGGAAGACCTCTTTTGCTGATTGGAAGCTTTTTAAGCCAAGCTTTCCTTCCTCCTTGGACCTTTCACAAGTGATCTCTGTGGACGATGGAAATGCACTAATAACAACAGCAATCCTTGAGGCAGCCCGTTTGTCCATCCCACAGACATCCGGCAACCTGCCAAGACGCCCGAAGCCATGGTGGGATGATGAGTGTAGAGAATCCCGAAAGCGACAAAACTGTTCTTGGGGAAGGTTTAGAAGGTATCCAACCTCCAGAAACCTCCTGGCATTTAAACAGTTGCGGGCAAAAGCCCGCTATATCTGAAAACAGGCCAAAAAGAGATCCTTTTGCTCGTATGCATCCTCCATCAATAGTTACACATTGGCCAAGATTGTCTGGGACAGAGTGGGAAGAATGGAGGGCGACTACCGTTCTTTCTCAATCCCCTTGCTTTTTAACTGAGAATGGAGAAGCTTATTCATCGTTATATGAACAAGCCAATGCACTGGGTAAGCACTTTGCACAAGTCTCCAGTTCCGAAAATTACACTGCAGAGTTTTTACGGTTTAAGTCGAAATGTGAGAGAACTCCAGTTCGTATGTCAGATGATTGTACTGAAGAATATAACCGTCCCTTTTCTCTTGTCGAGCTTCGTCGAGCCCTTGCTGCTGCAAAACCCACATCCCCTGGACCTGATTCAATTCACCCCACTATGCTTTCCCACCTACCTGATACATTTCTTGTCACTCTCCTCCAGTTTTTTTAACATAATCTGGGCGAAAGGGAAATTTCCCAGCTCCTGGAAACAGGCTGTGGTCGTTCCCATTTTAAAACAAGGAAAGGACAGAAGCAAAGCCACGAGCTACAGGCCAATTGCCCTCACTAGCTGTCTGGGAAAGACCTTCGAACGGCTGGTCAACAGTAGACTCGTCTACGTGCTAGAACAAAAGAAACTTCTAAGTAATTTCCAGTGTGGTTTCCGCACTTCCAGATCTACTGTTGACCATCTGGTGCGCCTCAAGATGACCGTCGGGAGGCTTTTGTAAATAGGCAGTTTTGTCTTTCGGTGTTTTTTTGACCTTGAAAAGACCTACGACACTGCCTGGTGCTACGGCATACTTCAGGACCTTATCTCGATGGGCATAAAAGGGAGAATGTTTAACTGCATTTCCGACTTTCTGCAGAATCGTGGCTTTCAGGTACGCCTGGGGGCTACGGTCTCTGACCCTTTCCCCCAGGAGAATGGCCTACCGCAGGGCTGTGTCTTGAGCATCACTTTGTTTATTATAAAAATGAATTCTCTGTCTCAGGTGATTCCGCCCATGGTCTCCCATTCTCTTTACGTTGACGATGTCCAAGTTTGCTTTTCTTCGTGTAATTTAGCTATCTGTGAGCGCCAAGTTCAACTCATGGTGAACAAGATGAGTAGGTGGGCTGATCAGAACGGTTTTCGGTTTTCCACCGAGAAAACCGTGGCGGTCTGTGTCTCTCGAAGGTATTTTCTGTTCCATGGCTGTCCATCAAAGGTGTGCCTATTCCTGTTAGGTCAGAACATAAGCTCCTCGGTTTAGTATTTGGCAGCAAGCTAACCTTTGGCTCACATGTAAAGGCTCTAAGAATTAAATGTCAGCGGAAATTAAACATTCTTAAAGTCCTGGCATACCGTTCTTGGGGTTCAGACCGTCTCTGCCTTTTACGACTTTATAGGGCATGTGTTCGTTCTGTGCTGGATTATGGCAGCATTGTCTACGGTTCTGCTAAGCCCTCTACGCTTAAGATGTTGGACCCGGTTCACAATCAAGGCATTTGACTAGCAATCGGGGCCTTTCGAACATCGCCAGTGCTTAGCTTGTATGCCGAGTCAAATGAGTGGTCGCTTGATAAACGGAGGTTTTATCTTAGCGCACAATACTATCTAAGACTGCGGACTCTCCCTCAACATCCAAATTTTTCTTTGACTAACGGCATAATAAATTATGAACAGACCTTTCAAAACAAGCAACAGGAATTCTTCGAGATAGCAAGCCGTTACGAGACCGGCAAGAGTTTCTTCACTGATGGGACGAAGGGCGTTGATTATGTTGGATGTGCTGTGGTGGGGCAGTCCTTCCCGCGTGTTAGACGAATTAACCCCGAGGCATCTGTTTTCACTGCTGAGCTTCTAGGGCTGATATTAGCTCTTAAACAAATAATTAAAAAAAAGTTTAGGAAATCCATAGTATTTTAGACTCGCTTAGTTGCCTCCTTGCCCTTGACTCAGCAACATCCTGGAACCACGCCCTCATTTCTCTACTCCGTGGTAAAATAATAAATGCCCGCAAGCAAAATATTGATATTCAGTTCTGCTGGGTACCCAGTCATATAGGAATACACGGCAATGAGGAGGCTGACCGAGCTGCAAGTACATGTATAAACAGGTCCATTGAAACCCACGCCATTCCAGCGACTGACTAGAGAACCACTCTGCGAAACAAAATAAAACGTTCCTGGCAAGTGGAGTGGAGCTCTGACTGTTACAATAAGCTCCATAGTGTTAAGCCTACTTTGAGTGAATGGCGCAGTGCCAGACATCGGGAAAGGTTTTACGAAGTTATTCTGTGCCGGCTGCGAATAGGACACGCACGCCTAACCCACGGGTACCTCTTAAAAAGCGAAGATCCTCCAGTGTGCGATTACTGCTTTGAAACTTGGTCTACTCCACATCCTTCTAGTATGCCCGCAATTTCATAATGAACGCTGCGCCTACTTCCCAATCTTTTTTAGAGAGCATATTCCGTTCCACCTGACACTTTTGCTCGGAGACGAGCCTGTTGTCCCACATACACAAGTGTTTAACTTCTTGAAAAATATTGGTATTTTAAACCGCCTTCAGCAGATTTTAGTAAAGTGAAATTTAGCAATGTATAATTTAGCCGCTGTCTTGTGATATTTACTCACCATGTGTTTGGCGCACTATGGCCCGAGTTGCTGCTGCGCCAAAAAAACCCAAATTCATTCATTCATTCACCTCTTCCTTTAAACCTTCCTTCATTAGTGGGGTAATCCCACTTTCACCGTCCGACTTTCCGACATACCGAAGGAGGGTGTTTTTCGAAGGCAGTTTAAGCAGGCCTCGGTAGCGTATGTAACGGTACGCCTTCGGGGACAAGTAGTACAATAGTACACATTCCCGTACAAAGTCTGGGGACCACACGGGTCGTTGCCTTGTTGCATTAGTGATCTGCTCCACAAAGAAATCTTCTAGGCAGAACTGGGCCGTGCCAACCTTCTCCAAGCATTTTCTGATTGCCGAGTGGAGGGTGTTGTTCTCATAACCACTGAGCTCTTTTTTAGGCGGCTGTTTTCTCGCTGCAGTTTCCTTGCAGTATCTGCTTTTCTAAACAACTGCGCCCTCATTCTGTTGATTGCCCTTGCATCTGACTGCTTGCGTGGAAGGAGGTCATCACAAGTTTGTGCTGCACAGTCAACTGAGTTAGTAGGCCGCTGTAGGTCACCTACTGCATCTTGTGCACTTGTTTTCGTACCTGTAGCCACCTGATCCTCCTTGGGGCCTAATAGTGACACATGGCTTATAGAAGTCTGTGGCAGATGGCCTCCATCGTGGCCTGCACCTTGAAAACTTGCCTCTGTGTTTACTTCAGGGACTGATGGCAAATAGCAATCAGAATTTGACTGCCTTGTGCTGGTTGCACTGTCACAGGCTGAAGCAGTCACTTTGGCATGGCAACTTGATAAACTTGATGCCTTTTTTTTTGTGTGAAGGGAAGTCCTGTACCACTCGCTCCAATTTACGCCTTTTTTGTGGCTTTTGTGGGTGCATGTAGGTTGGGTACCCTGAAAATATGCTCGGAACAGCATCCCTTTTGAGGCGGCGAAGCTTGGTGGACCCCAGAGTGTAGTCCGAATCCGCAAAATGAAGGCTGCAGACGACACTGCTCGATGATTTGTCATTTGGGACAAAATCTTTTCTTGATATCGCCTTCAGCCACGCTTGGCGACGGTCATCGTTCGCAGGAAATTTATGAAAACTTATTCCAAGCTTTCTTTTCCTGTCCGACTTGCAGAAAGGCACGCTGCATTACATTCTTCCGAAAAAATAGAGAAGCAGAGCGGACAGCGGTGTGAAACACACACCAGAAAACCATATAATTTTCACTTACAGCAAATAATGAGGCGGCGATATTTCAGTAGCTACATAAGACCACTAAACACACCTGGAGCATATACATCATAGTAAACCAAGACTCAAGAAAAAATGGTCGCTTCGTACACTTTGAAGACTAGCCTAGAGCTTAGACTACTGCAATCGCCTGCCTATAAACAACACCCGAGCGCTTATCGGTATTACGCTGCTCTCTCTGTCTCTGTATCACACCCACGCGCGCACGCACACACACATGCAAGCGCGCACGTGCGAACCTGCACAGACACACACACAAACATGAACACGCGCCTCAAACCAACCCACATACGCACGCACAGACACGCGCGCACGTGCGAAACTACACACACACACACATGAACACGGGCCGCGAACCCACCCACATACGCCCGCAGCGTGAACTTCCACATGAACCTACACACGCCCGACCGCCCGCCCGCCCGCCCGCCTGCCCGCGAGCGAGCGAGCAAGCGAGCCAGGAAACCCCCACGCATTCACACACCGTACGTGCACGCGTGCGCACGCGAACCCACACGCAAGCACACACGCCTTGAAACAACACGCGCGCTCACACACACACAAAATAGCCTAGTTAGTTTACTGTAGCTAAGTATTTCGAAACAGCCTGCAAGGCATAAAAAGGTAAACCTAAGCGCCATGATAGCTCGCGAAGAGGCCGTAAAAGTGGCAAAAAAATTCAGCACACAGGCATTCAATCTGCACGAACTGCAAAAGGATCGAGTTTGGGCTGCCTCATTCGACTTTCACTTAACCACTCCGGCTGCATGCAAAACAAACATGTCATTTAAACAACGTACGTACCTTAACTTTGTACTGCTTGCAGGAACGAGTGAAGACACATCGACCACATACTCAAGGTTTTTCTGCAGTGAAAACTCGACAGCGAAGACTGACTCGTGAAATCGCAGGCAGTGTCGGCCAGATGAGCCTTGCTTCAACCTTAGGCTAACGGCGCCGCCTCGCGACAGGTGTCGGAGTTAGCAAAATTACACGGCTCCCCTTGCTTGCGCGCCGAATGGGACGGCCGGAGCAACGGCGTGCCGCCGGTAGCAGATCGCGGAGGCTACGCGTGAAGATGTGCAGTTCACAGAGTGGCCGCTGCGGGAGAAATGCCGGCGTTGTGATCGCCTTTAGTTCGGTTCTGGAGTACAGATCAAAGCAACTTTTCTCAAAGCAGGCTCTGTGGCAGTTTCCGAACTGAGTTGTTGTACTAACCATATGGTAGTAACGTTGCCGGAAACCTATGTATTAGGGAGTTGTAGTGGATCGTTTTTCTCCTCCGCTACGCTATCCCCGAAGAAAACGCCGCAGCTGCGCATGCGCGCCGCCTGCCTTGTCTGCATAGTTCAAGGTCTTGTGGCGGATTACGGAGCGCTATCCGGGTGCTTAGCGGGCTGCGGAAATGGTCTACTACAATTCCCTATTGTTTACCTTTCGCAACGTTCCATCAATTAAACGTGTGTCGAATTTGTGGATGGTCTCTGGGAAGGAAAGATTTGATCATACTGTGGCGGTCTGTAATGACGCTTTCTACGATCAGTCCATTGACTTAGAGCACCACAAGGGTTCTATTGAGTCCCTCCAGCTCCATGGCCCATCTCCACTTTGTCTCATTGGACTGCATAAAAATAAAATGTATTGTGCCATCACATTGCAAATCCAAGTATCCAAGACTGGAGTAGGTAAAGCTGTTGAGACCAGATGAAAGACATCTTGAAATGTGTTGTCATATCCATTAAATTTCTTTCCCTTGAGAAAATGGGTTCTGGTGTTGTAACATACTAACAGCTTTAGAACAAGCACGAAAGTGCACTGCACCTGCACTGTTTCGACGTGAAGAACATTGTTTCCTTGGACATCAATCGCAGTGTATGATCCAAACTTGGCCGAGTTGCCAAGTCCGAGCGGCCATCAGCAGCAAGGACCAGCTCCCGCCCAGCAGCGTCCTCAAACAGCTGGGTCTGTTGCCTGTTCCACACCTAGCAGTCGCAAGGAAAACCAGATGTTTGTAGACTGTCTATTTGCTAATCATTGCATTGTACGCTGCGAGGTAGCTAACAGCTTTGAAATTTCACTTCTGTAATATCACCTTGATTCTACCCCGCATTGGTGCAACGATTGTCACATCATTGAAAGTATACATTTCCCAGAAAGTTAACGGGTCTTAATCCTGAGTGAGATTTTTTAATCTGCAACCTCACATGGAGCTTGCATGAAATATGTACATGAATTCGATCGCCAATCACATGTTTTTATCTGAATTGTAATTTTTCCTAAACCTCCTCAACACTGAAATCTTTTCTTTTTAAAACACTATACCACCCAAACTCGAGTATGCTTTTCCCCCTGTGATTCTAACACAGGGACATTTGTCAGTGACTTGAAGGCTATACCAAATATATCCATGGGTTTTATTCTCCCTAATTACCATCATAACTCAGGTGTAACATGTATGAAACTTGGCTTATCAGTACCTAATCTCTGTTTATGCCACATATTTTCTCAGTTGTGTTCATTTCACAATTCAATCCTAAAGACTGAACTCTGAAGTCTCATAATTACATTCCACAGGTGAATATAATTCGTGCTCAACACTACGGTGGGGTGGTTTTCAGAACCTTGGATGTTTAGGATCGTAAACTCCTACGAAGGTCCCTACTGGCAACTGCTACTGCAGCAAAATTATAACCGGCATGTGCCATGTTTATTCGCCCATTCAAAATAAATAATTGTTATGGCTGAATGAATCTAACCTTTTGTGGCTAGGGTTCTCTATTATTTATGTTTTGCACTTGCTTCATTGTCATCAAAGACTCCCATCAAGGATAGCCAGTGCACTGCAGGTTCAAGCCGCAACTGGAGGCCCGGAATAGGGGCACACAACCACTCCACTTTTTCTGTCTCCCCCTTCCTTTCTCTTTATCTTTCATTCAATTTTGAATAAAGTTTTCAACAACCCATCAACGACAATTTTTTTCTGGGTATTGGATTTATCTATATTTTTGGGCATGATTTTATTAGGTATAGATAAGCGAAACCGCACACGCATACGACTGTATCTATGTCTAATTGTACTGTATCTCAACCTTTTGAAGTCCTTCATTCCTAAATATTGTAGAATAATGCTTTCAGTCACGAGAGCATATATAAAAAGAAAACTTCACACAGTCCCGTTTCCACTATTGCACTAGCAATGTAAACTGTTCGCCCGATTCTAGAGATATAATGTCTTTCCTTTTTTTTTAAATTTAATAATACAAGCGCAGCTGTCTTTTTTTTTAATTAGATATATTCGCGCTCAAATAGTATAAAACAGCACCTACCGGTTGAACGTTTACCAGCAATCAGCTGTGGTCGCGATGTGCTCTGCTCTCTTCTACTCGTCCAGTAACCGCTGCTTAGTCTTGACAGAACGGGCAGCAATGCGCCCCATGAACGTACGTCTCATCAGTGGAGTCGTGGTCGTTGCAAGCCCTGTCACCGTTTTGAGGAAGTCCTCGTGTTCGACGACGGAGAAAGGCTGCATCGCCCCGATAACGAAGTTTTCGACAACCTCCTCGTAGGATTTCTGGGTTATAAGTCCGGAAAAAAACACATCCAGTTTCAGCTGCTTGGCCTCCCTTTCTACTTCTGGCCTCGATCCAGAGTCATGGCATGCCGTTCGTTGCGAATGCCGCTGCCCAGCTTCCAGAGTTGGGTAGGGTGCAGCGACTGCAATTTATGACATTGTGACAAGTGAAGCACTCCCAATAATCTGACAAAATATAACTTTACTTTTATGTTAACTAAAGAGGTTAGGCAGCACTAAATTTGCATTATCTCGCGAATTCTAACTACGATCATATAGCAACCGTAAGCGCTATTTGCAGGTTTCAAGCTGAAAAGTAAAATAATTTAAGCAGGTGTCAAAAGGTGCAAGCTTGAGTCTAAATATTCTATTGGAGCGGCAGTCACAAAGACTAGCCAAAGCGTTCGTCCGTTGGTGTAAAAACAGATTTTCACGCGTAGCACAGAAGGAAGTACAAATATAGCTTACCTTCATGTGATTCCTGAGGTTGGCATTTCACTTCTTGCATGCAGCCAGGACCTTGGTTTTCAAAAGGGATAGTTTCCACTTCGCTTAAACAGAGGTTTCTGTCTCAGAAACGTACACGAAGAAGGGCCTGAATTTCGGCCAGGGCAAGCGGGTGTCGGCATCTTCGGTGTCCATGACGAAACATTAGGGGTGTGCCTCGGTTAGAGGGTCTTTTATAGCAAACTCTCTTCCTTTTTTTATTTTTTCTTCGGCAAGCTGCAATCGTTATGACTGCCCCTCTTGATTCCCGCGACGTCTGAAGAGTACGCTGAGCGAGTGCACCTGACCGTCAAGGGATCAAGTCGCGTGCTAAGACGATAAGATCATCCGGAAGACTGCGCGTCTCGTTGCAGTGCTACGCTACTGAAAATATATTGTTTTGGTTTAACAGAATATGAAACGAAATATACTTCGCCGCTAGCGCCGGGTCCAACAAAAGGATCTCCCAAGGGTGGCTCGCAATCCTCTCCGACGCCTATGGTACCCTGAGGCGCCTGACAAGTAAATAGTTCTCAGCAAAGAAGTGGTCTCCCTGGCGTGGAAGGTCGGAAGGACGCGAAGGATTACATGAACAACCATTGTCGCTCGTACAGCGTCAGCTGGAAGCGCGAACGTGCTCCCACACTCTACTAAAAAGGGGGTGTAGGCGTTACACCCGTACATATACGACACCCCAAAACTTCACTTCGACGTACAGCGCGCTGACGTCAAACTGACTGCCCCAACTTTTGCGAGAGGGTTGATCGCGGTGCGATATAACATATTAAACAGCTAAAGTATGTCTCAAAGTCTACAGGAATACAGGAAAAAAACAC